CCAACCTCGAATTAGCGCCCATCTCGAATAAGCGCCCATCCTAAGGCAGAAAAAGTTAATAAGCGCCCAGCCTCGAATAAGGGCCCACCCCCTCCTCCTCCCTATCAAATCAAATAAGCGCTCACCTCCACCCAACCCACTTGAGTGAATAAATTTTAATAAGAGACTTCCCCGAGGACGGAGTTTTCGTCAGAGTATTTTACAGAAACCTTGCTTTGCTACTTCTTCGCGTTTTGTTATTAGCATTTATTGTTTTGTTGCAAAATAAACATACTTCACTTGCTGAAAATGGTGAAAATTTAATAAGCGCCCAGCCTCGAATAAGGGCCCACTCTCAAGGCCCCAAAATTTAATAAGCCCCCGGGGCGGTTAATTGAATAAATACGGTATTTAGTTTGACGTCCAGCGAGTTGGAAAAAACCTTTTCAGAGCGATATTTTTAACAACTTAACGTGTCGGAGGATAAAAAGAAAACGTTATTTATTCTCGCCGATACTTGTGAATCTTTTAAGTTCATCCATTTTACAGGTTAGCCAACAAAAAGTGACGGGTTTTTTCCCTACTTTTTTATTTTATTCATGCGACGTTTTGTTTACTGGTTATATGAGATTGGTTGGTTCTCTCTGTTCTTTTCATGAACAGCTTTGATTTTTTGTTTCTCTCTTTTCCTGACAGTTTAGAATACATTGTATGTCAGCATTGGAAATCGCTTTTCGTGTCACCTACAATTGACATTCGTGCAACGTAATAAGTTCCGCTTCGAGTGTTAATCTGTAGCAAGCCACATGGTTTGTCTTTAGTTTCAGTTTTATTTGTGTAGCTTTTCTTAACCGTGGCGGTATGCGAGTCTTTAATTTTCCCTGTTAACAGCGACAATTACGAAGTAGCTCGACATCCATATTTAACAAGGGACTGCTTGATTTTACTGATCTTTCAGAGAAAAAGAGCCTGTGATGGTTTGCTAGTACGTCAGGCGCGACAAACTTCACTCGCCGGAGGTAAGTAGTTTGGCTTGTCTTTGACTAGTTCGGGAAAGGGATATATTTTTTCTGACCTAAAATGGCAACAACTACATAATTGCTTGAAGAGGAGCGTATCCTTTTTAGTTTCGTTAAGAGTTACTTATATGTATGAGATGATGGGAACAATATTATGTGTAGAGATTATTTGTTATTTCCTGAATCAGTAACCTGGAGAGTATAAACTATAAATAATTGATGACAAAATGAGAAGCATTTGTAAAAGAGTTGGCAGATTCGTCTATTCTGAAAAGTAAAGCGAATGTAGAGCGCAGACAATATTTCCAAGGAAGCTTTCAGTTATCGCGAACAATTCAATTGTTTCTGCAGCATATTATACTTCAGTATACCTAAATACAGAGCGAGAACTGGAGCGTGGATTCGAGCTAGGATTCAAACCGGGACTTCGAATGAGGGCTTCTTTTGCTTATTACTAAAGGTTACAAATTCTAAGTAAAGTGCTGCGAGTAGACCCTGAGCATACTAAATCATAACGTATATGAATTTGTTATAATTTGGCTTACCAACATTAATAATATTTCAAGCCGTAAATTTATTGATTTTTTGGCCATTTACATCTGAATAACCCTCAATCTGGAAAAATGAGAATTTTCTATCCTACAGCAGCGTTATAAGTGCTGCCTTTGCCTTTAAGCAAAGAGCATCCATTGCTTTGCTGCTCTGATCAGAGAATAAATCGATGTTGAAGACCTCAGTGGAACCGGCTTAATAAAGTGAACACGTTTTACTAGTTCCTTGCTCTTTCTTTGTATCGATGTTCCACTATAATCTCAATAGACCTATTTGGCTCAATGTTGTACCCAATTCAAACCCTTTGGGAATAAAAAGTTTTGTTTCAGGAATTCCCCGTTTATCATTTAAATGTGAATGCCACGTTATAATGCAAATCAACACAACGAATCTTCACCCCGAGAGATTTGAATTCAGGGTACAACCCTGAGTTAGCCGAATAGGTATTGTTTGGTCGCTAAGAACTTCTGGCTTGCTTTGTCAGCGCACACTGCACACAAACTCTGCAGCCAAGGAAAGACATTTTTCGAGTTCACTTTAATTTTGACTGTTTAGTTTTTACTTGAAAAAAGATCCTGACAGATTTCTTTGCCCGCTTGTTGACCTTTAAAGAGATTAAATGTGTAGATCCTCGCTGTTCAAGACACAACTTATGCAGTTGCGGAAAGAAAGCCTGATAAAACTTGTTTGAGACAGAAATTCTTACATCTACAGGATCGTATATCACTTTTTAACTGGTTAATTTTTTAATGAAACACGCGTTGCATTTTGCCACTAAACTAAATTCCAGTTATATTTAAAAATGTATTGTTTTTGTTCGCCTCCGGTCGCAAAGCAGTATTTCCCGCGCCAACGGCGACCTGCGTTCACAGATTGAGAATCATGTGGTCTTCTCTGTCAGAAGTAATTTGCCACAAAAAGTTCAACAGTTTCTTTCTTTATGGAAACTCACTAATGATATCATTAATCGTACTTATTAAATTGGGGGAAACCCAGAAATTATGAGAAGCGCAACACTCGATCACGCACAAATTCAACAATACAGATACCAACAAAAGCAAAAACTCTGGGCCACATTAAGAATAACTCTAAGCTCTAGGATTCCAAGTTACCAAACCTTATACTAGTAAGTAACTTGCCTCAGTACTCTTTTTCTCTCAAGTTGGTATTTGAAGCTCCCGGTGAAGCTTTGCGTTCTCGAAGCTCCGCCGCTTATTTGCCCTTTCGCCAACGAGACTATGAGATGAACTTGTGTGCGAAATTCTCAAAGTTCCTGTTTTCGTAGGACGAGTCTTCCTTATCCTAATCCGAAATTTAGGCTCCCAAAAAGGAGTGTGATGCATTAAACACAAAGACATCAATCTTTAAAGGGACTCTGCGAATGTGGCTAAACATGCTTTAAGTAATGTTGAATAAACGAGCAGCAGTGTTTTATACCCGATAAAACACGTGCTGCCAGTTTATTGAACGACTTCAGAGACATTTCTGGAAAAGCGTGTCTCAGTGGAGTTGATAACAATGACGCTTTTGTGAACGCTGGAAATTGGCATAAGAAAAAATATTTCGTTTGACACGCGTTTGGACATTTTCCAGTGTGCGAACGACACTAACCGAAGAGCACATAGTGTCATGTTCCAGAGCTTTTCGGAAGCCTAAAAATGCCGAGGAAGAGAGGAAGTTAATCGAAAATGGTAACCCAAAGTCAAAAAGTACAGTGAAAAAGTAGTCTCTTAAAAATTTTTTCTGCAATGGCTGAATGGTCGGTAAACAAAAATTCAGTACTCGAGCCTTGCGTATTCACAACTGGCAACACTTGGACACTTGGAATTAGCCAATATTACCGCTGAGTCACTGAACTTTTGGCTGATTAAACTGGTGAAAGAACAAAGTTTAATTTTGTGCATTAGTAAATTTACTGGGTGAGTTATTTTGAAAAACATTACACATTCACCCACCATTTCTTGTGTCAGTTGCTGTGCTGATAACTAATTTTCATAAGTCACGTGTAATGACTTTATATCTGATAAAACACCGTACACTAATAAAGGGAGGTTTTATCGATATAAAGTCACTGCATGTGATGTATTATGGACTTATGGACTTATGAATTATTAATGAGTTTTTGAAGATCACGCAATGCCCTCTGGGTTACTGCATGACGTCATCGGCATTAATTTAAACTATGACATCATCCTATCTTAATCACCAGACTTTGACGAGACGAGCCCAACTAGTTTGCGACTCACCTGACAGCCTACAAGACGAGACTGATTATCTTAACAACGTTTTTAGTGAGAACAATTACAACAAGGACTTTGTTAGACGGAACACTCACAGTAACACTGATTCCAACACTCAGACCAACTCTGGCCCTGTTACGACAGCGACTATACCGTACACCAGAGGCACCTCTGAAACTATTGCACGTATATTACAAAGTTACAATATACGTGTTGCACACAAACCGATAACCACTTTACGGCGACTGCTTACTAATGTCAGGGACAAATACAAACCCGAGGACAGACAGGGAACAGTATACAAGATCAAATGCTGCGACTGCCAGGCTTCTTACATTGGTGAAACCGACAGAAACCTAGGCACGCGACTGACCGAACACAAACGAGCGACGAGGAATGGTGACGTCAACAATCACATTGCTGAGCAGCATTTACAGACGAAACATCGAATTGATGGGGACTCTGCGACATGTATAACATATTCTACAGACTACTATCAACGTCTTACTTTAGAAAGCTGGTTTACTAACTTAGAATAAACGCCACTGAATCGTAGCCAGTAGTTACCAGCGCCGTACAAACGACTTATTGACGAGATCAAGCAAAACTAACTACGAGAGAATGACTGGAGAACTGACAATTTGACTAACAATAGACGACTGTTTAACTGTGACAATAGACGGATCGAAAAGCACCAATTACTGTTTAAGAGTCTTAAAAGCCAATAACATCACGGCTTAACTGACAGACGACCGATAACATCGCAACGTAATTGACCAATCAGACCAATAACCAGTCGAGAGTATAATAACATCAACTGACGTGATACAACTCACTTTGACTCTGAAGATTAATACCGCACAGGTTGTCGAAACGTCAGTCACTGACAACAACAACAGTCCTATTCAGGACTACGTTCACCCGGACGATCAAACTCAACCAACTTTTGAGTAAGGTGTATGATGGTAAAAAGTAGGTCACAGACTACTCTCTCAAACTATGTATTTACTATAGATATTATGCATTTGCAGATTCAACAAGTAAAGACTAGGCCAAAAAGGATAAACCAACACTTATAATCGTGACCTACCCCAGTAAATCTTGATTATCTTGCCTAAGAAGTTTAACTGTTCAGTTAATAGGACGGTAAGAATCTCGTTTCCACTTTCTTACGCTTAAATATTTTTTTCTCAAGGTTAAAAGAAACGTCATGGACAACGCCTCGGAGATTCTACAGACCATTTATATTGGTGCAGTCGTTGCAACTTTCCTTTTAAACACTGGACGTATTAGAAAAGCAGTAGACATCTTTAACGAATGTTTGGTAATCCTTAACGGTAAAGCCCTAGAGACAATCAAAGAACTTACCACACCACTTATCATCTATGTATACCATAAACTTCTTGATGGCTATACTCTTATGCACGATCACACCCGTGCGATAGAATGTGGTAAAAAGCTTCACGAGAAACTCCACAATAGTGGTCAAAAAAGAAGAAGAAGGGATGATATTACTAAAACTATCCGACATCTACTATCAAAGAAGCAAATACGAGGAAGCAAAACAATGTTGCGAAAAGGCACTCGGCATCCTGATTGAGACTGGAAACAGTACCATAGTTCGAACATGTTACGCAGATCTAGGAACTGTGTTTCTTTCTGTTGGTCAATACACCAAGGCAGAAGAATACCTTCAAAAAGCACTAGCGATAAGCAAAGAAATCGGTGACAAAGAAGGAGAAGCTACAGATTACGGAAATCTAGGAGCTGTATTCCAGTCTGTTGGTCAATATACCAAGGCTGAAGAATATCACCAAAAAGCACTAGTGATAAGAAAAGAAATCGGTGACAAACAAGGAGAAGCTGCAGATTACGGAAATCTAGGAGCTGTGTTTAGATCTGTTGGTCAATATACCAAGGCTAAAGAATACCTTCAAAAAGCACTAGTGATCAGAAAAGAAATCGGTGACAAACAAGGAGAAGCTGCAGATTACGGAAACTTAGGAACTGTGTTTCTTTCTGTTGGTCAATATACCAAGGCTGAAGAATACCTTCAGAAAGCACTAGTGATCAGCAAAGAAATCGGTAACAAAAAAGTAGAAGCATCAGCGTACGGAAATCTAGGAACTGTGTTTAAATCTGTTGCTCAATATACCAAGGCTGAAGATTACCTTCAGAAAGCACTATTGATGAGCAAAGAAATCGGTGACAAACAAGGAGAAGCATCAGCTTACGGAAATCTAGCAATTGTGTTACAATCTGTTAGTCAATATACCAAGGCTGAAGAATACCTTCAAAAAGCGCTAGTGATCAGAAAAGAAACCGGTGACAAAAAAGGAGAAGCTGCAGATTACGGAAACCTAGGAACTGTGTTTCTTTTTGTTGGTCAATATACTAAGGCTGAAGGATATCTTCAGAAAGCACTAGTGATCAGGAAAGAAATCGGTGACAAAGAAGGAGAAGCATCAAATTACGGAAATCTAGGAGTTGTGTTCCAATCTGTAGGTCAATATATTAAGGCTGAAAAATACCTTCTAAAAGCACTAGTGATCAGGAAAGAAATCGGTGACAAAGAAGGAGAAGCTGCAGATTACAGAAATCTAGGAACTGTGTTTAAATCTGTTGGTCAATATACCAAGGCTGAAGAATACCTTCAAAAAGCACTAGTGATAAGCAAAGAAATCGGTGACACAAACGGAGTAGCTGCAGATTACGAAAAACTAGGAGTTGTCTTTAAATCTGTTGGTCAATATACCAAGGCTGAAGAATACCTTCAAAAAGCAATAGTGATCAGGAAACAAATCGGTAACAAAGAAGGAGAAGCATCAGCTTACATAAATCTAGGAACTGTGTTTAAATCTGTTGGCCAATATACCAAGGCTGAAGAATACCTTCGAAAAGCACTAGTGATCAAAAAAGAAATCGGTGACAAACAAGGAGAAGCATCAGCTTACGGAATTCTAGGAACTGTGTTCCAATCTGTTGGTCAATATACCAAAGCTGAAGAATACTTTCAAAAAGCACTAGTGATCAGGAAAGAAATCGGTGACAAAGAAGGAGAAGCATCAGATTACGGAAATCTTGGAACTGTGTTTCTTTCTGTTGGTCAATATACCAAGGCTGAAGAATACCTTCAAAAAGCACTAGTGATCAGGAAACAAATCGGTGACAAAAATGGAGAAGCAACAACTTACGCAAATCTAGGAACTGTGTTCCAGTCTGTTAGTCAATATACTAAGGCAGAAGCATACCTTCAAAAAGCACTGACGATCAAAGAAGAAATCGGTGACAAAGCTGGTGTCGGAGCTTCATACTTAAATCTGGGAAACCTTTGTCGAAAATTTCAACTTAATGCGAAGAGTCAAGAATTTGCTAATAAAGCACTTGAGATAAGTTACGAAATAGGGGACATTGAAATGCAGTTCAACAGCCACCTTTCCATTGCTCTTAGCGTGTTAATGGCAGGAGGAAGCATAACTGAACTTATGCGAAATCTGTATGAAAGCATTCAGAAGTGCGAAGAAATGCATGATTTTTTAAGAGTGAAAGATCAATTCAAAATTTCTTTTTTTGATAAGCATGTGTCCCCTTACCTTTTTCTTTGTAGGTTGTTGATTTTTACAGGCAGTTATTATGAAGCTCTTTACGTTGCCGAGCTTGGACGGTCCAGAGCACTGACAGACGTACTGTCAGATAAGTACTCTGTGGAAAAAGAGGTATCAGTCAACCCACAGTCATGGATTGGTATTGAGAACATCATGAACAAAAATGCACTTAGTTCTTGTCTTTATGTTTCCTGCTTCGGTGATAATATGTACTTTTGGATCCTCAAGCCAAACAGAATTATAGTTTTTCGACAAACGGGACTTAAAGATAGTGCACATAAAGTGTTTAGAAATCACACATTTGGTGGCTCTCTTGATTTACATAAAGACCAATGCGAAGATCGATCATTGTTTTCATGTGTAAGTCCCCCGCCATCATGCAAACCATCGCAGAGTGACAGCTTCGAATCTTTGCGTCTTATAGAGGAAGAGGAAGACGAAAATCACGACTCTAAACCTTTAACCCTTGCTGATGGTTACAACGTGATAATCGCTCCTGTAGCTGAATTACTCCAAGAATCAGAAATCATTATTATACCGGATAACTTGTTGTATCCAATTCCTTTTGCTGCTTTAATGGATGATAATGGAAAGCGTTTATCGGATACTTTCAGGATTCGTATTGTCCCTTCCTTGACGATTCTTAAGTTGATTCAGCTCAGTCCAGAAGATTATCATAGTAAAACCGGTGCACTGATCGTAGGAGAGCCAGAGATTAGTGATGTATACTACCAAGGAAAACTTCTACAGTTAAACCCATTGCCTTGGGCGAGAAAGGAAGCAGAGATGATTGGGAGACTGCTCGGTGTTCAACCGTTCCTTGGAAGGGATGCAACTAAGCAGGCAGTACTGAAAAGCATGCATTCAGTAAGTCTCATTCACTTCGCTGCTCATGGTTATGCCGAACGAGGAGAAATAGCTCTCTCCCCTGTGAGCTCCTGCGGAACTCCACACGAAGAAGACTACTTATTAACGATGGCTGAAATTTCACAGGTTCGACTAACAGCCAAGCTGGTTGTCCTTAGCTGCTGTCATAGTGCAAGTGGTCAGATAAGGGCTGAGGGAATTGTTGGAATCGCTCGTGCATTTCTAGCATCGGGTGCACGCGCCGTGTTGGTGGCACTGTGGGCTGTAGAGGACGAAGCTACTATGTGGTTTATGAATCGTTTTTACGAGCACCTTGTTCATGGTGAAAGTGCCAGTGAATCTCTTCACAAGGCCATGAAGTCGATGAGAGAGAATTGCTTTTCTGACGTCAAGCAGTGGGCACCCTTTATGCTGATTGGAGATGATGTGACATTCAAAGGTTTGTATTTGATATCGTTTTGTAGGTTTTTCTAATTATTTTAGTCCAAATTTGTGAAACTAATTAACTTTTGTTTGTGACACTATGTATTATTTTGAAAAATATTATTAACGGAGTTATACTGAATTTTATTGTGGTTTCTTTATTTGTTGTCTTTTCCAACCCTGTTCATGAAAGTGAGGCAACTGAAGAGAAGGCCGAATTTTATTTTCCGATTTTCATGGAATATTTCTTAAAGCATACTCGGATCTCATTCTAAAATAACTAACTAAAATGAAAATGTAGAAAACGATAGTTGAGATTCCTAAGAGCATACGAAAAAAATTGAAGACATAGAGTAGAGAAGTAAGTGTCAAATAGACTTTTTCTTGAGGGTGTACGTGATGAAAAAAAAAAAAACCTTGCTTGTTCCAGGCACCGAGATAATCGGTCCACGAAATTGAGATTAGAAGGGGCGAACAGGAAAATAAAACGCCACCGCTCCCCTTTTCTGAGATTCACGCGCTCATATTTTTGCACGCCTTTCACCGCGTCATCCCTACTATCTGAGAGCCTGGAACAGGCCATAAAGAACGCTGTATGTATTTTTTAGTCTTAAAACAGATTAATCCTCAGGGAACCAGAGCCAGCATAGAGCGGGGTATACATACTAATAACTATTACCGGTGAGCGAGAGTTTAAAAGCAGACGGAAAGATTCCCTCGGTACTTAATCTAGCCCAAGCAGCTGCAGGGGCATTTTATTTTGAAACTTCTCTTTTATACAGATATTTTTCTGGAAAATGAGCTAAGGGCAACTCACTTGTCGTTTTCGTGTGTTCTTAAAACGAGGTTCAGTTTTGTCATCAGTCGCCTCTTTTATCATGCTTGTTTCGCGGCGGAGAAGTCGCAAGATGAAATATTTCCCCAAGACAGTATTTCATTCGATTCAATTGGGTTTTACAATACGTTTCGCTTTAGTTCCTTTCGTAGTCGCGATTTTGTACCAGAGGAGATGTTGGTATTTTGGAAACCATTGCACGGGCTGCAAGGGATAGCATGGTTGGCTTGATATCAACCTCCTGCCTCAAGATATAATCTGATCAGTATGCAATCAGAAAACGAAGGAAATTAAAATAAAGTAAAATATTCCCACTGTATACATTATTGGCCCGTGAGCGCGAATGAAGTAACTCCGTAAATTAAGTCGTTTTGGGCCTGCGTGCTGGTGGCATGATTCATTGCGGCCCTTGGTTAGATTTGCTTAGTTTTTGCCCGCCTCTTAGCTAGTTCAACGCAGGTCAGTGGAAATGACTTAGAAATTTCGCCCCTACCACCTCCCCTGGTGGCGGTTGACGTCGCTAACCCTCATTATTCGGCATGCCTATTGTCCTGGCAGGCGCGGTTGCCTCCCATAACTTAGTTCCCCCGTGTCGGAACAATAGCTATGCACTGCTAAATTTATACGAATCGCATTTAAGCTGAAAGTGATACAATACGACTTTACTAAACTTTTAGCATATAACTAACTTCTTCAAAGTGTAAAGGTTTGCTATTTTTTTTTCTTTGAATGTGTTAGAGATATAAAGGTAAAATATTTAGCGCAACGAGCAACAGAAGCATGTTGATCGATGGCTAAAATAAATCGTGCAAAGAATACATACGAAAGGGAACCGTCATGATTAGTTTTTCTATTTGCAGGTGCATTTGATAAGAGCAGTTTGAAAGATGGCGAAGGTGCAACGGAAACAAAGAACTTGTAAACTGAGAGGAAACATGTCGTTTAAGTTGACAACTACTGTCACAGCTGTACATAAATGTATATACCCAGGATCGCAATGAAGTAGTCTTGTCTGAGACCCGCAAAGAGAACAGGTGATAACTGTACTTTTAGAGCAGTCGCCATTTTGATACGTTACAGGCGAAGGTGAAGCATGAGCTGAGGGCGGAGAACAAGGAGAAAGGGTAGGCAGGACCAGTTAGTCGTCCTTAAAGTGGAGACGTCAGAGTTGTATACACTTTCTGAACCTACATCTACTATATTAGTCAGGACTTCTTTCGTTCAAAGTGACTTCTGCTACTCGTTAATCCTGTGCCTACGCTTGCTTCAAACTTACATGTCGTACATGAACACTAGTACAGCTTCGGTTTGATAAATTTGTAAAGGTACTGAACTTGACGAATGTGATGAAGTGCCACATAGATATCTAAGCTAAGAAAAGGGACGCAAGTGTTCTCTGGAATTAAGTGCTCTTTGCGAGGGGCACCCAACGACGGTTTCCTCCTAAATACATTGAAAACACTTTTTAGGCAATCCAGAATGCTTTTAGATCTCTAGAAATACATTCTATATCTGCTCGGTCATCTTAGGGGTGCTTGAGTCTTTTCGAAATTACAAGGACTTCTGTATTATTTTCTCGAAAATTTTAGAATGCAATTTAACGTATTACGAAAGTGAGAATTTTTCTCATTTCTCTCTCCATCTCATTTTTGTATCCGAAAATAATTTTTAGGTTTCCTTTTTTTCTACGAAAAACAGCCTAACCTAGGGAGGGAAATGTGAAAAATTAAACTTAATTCAGAAAATCGTAGGGAATGTTTAACATAAGCTTCAAAAATTGTACATGAATGGAACGGTCTTCTAGAAATCTTTAGCTGTCCTTAAATAATAGAAAATTCTACAGTCTGTAGGCACTCTTCTTCGAACAGATATTTTACAGAAAATCGTCGTTGGGTGCCTCAGCTTTGCGTCAATACGATACTTACGGTATTGCTTTTAAGTTGTTTTTTTTATTTGCCTAAGATCATTCACCACCCCGATGCTTTAGCGGCAAGTTCTAAATCAATTCAGCATGATGGCGAGTCTTAGAGACACAAACAAAGAAAATGAATATACATGCTTTTGTCCACTAAGACTCGCTATCGTGCTGAATTTTCATATATTGAAAGCAAGAGAGGATAAAGGGGACAGAGAAGGCATCCCCCATACACACACTTTTCCATAGGTAATTCGTCTCGAGTTATTTTTAACACCACAGATCTCAAAGGGGATTGGACAACAGCCAATCACATAGCGCGAATGTGTTCCGCGTGGATGACTCACGCTCAGAGCCACGCGTCCTTCACGAATTGACGCAGAACAAAATGGCGGAAGACGCGGAGAGCGATATTGCTATTCGTTTTGTCGACGAAAACGACTAAAGAGAGATTTCTGCTAAAGCTGTGTCAGCGAAACGGAAATTAAAAAAGAATCGCCCCTCCTCTATTGTATAGAGCTAACAGTACAGCAGGGAAATCCTTAACACACTGAATATTCTCTCAGGATCATTTATAATTTAATGGGTGGGTGTTCACTAGAATTTGGAAGTAGGGATTTATCTGAGTTGGTCCTCTTACAACATTATGAACCCGGTTCAGTTATGCAACGGACTTGAGATCTTTAGAATATCGGCAAATTCTAAAGTCTTTCCAGGTATGTCATTCTGGTTTTTTTTAGCAAGGAGCCGGCCTATCAATCACTACAGCGTCTTTGTGTAATTTGTTAGCTTATTTCCATTAGAATTTTACGCCTCTGACTAGAGTTCTGTTATAAATAGTGTAGGTTAGCTGTTTTCTGAGCTAAAGCGCTCATCAAATAAGTTTGTTTTCAAGAGAAGAGGCTACTTAGTGAACACGGTTAGTTATTGAGAGTAGACAGACGGCAAATTGCTGTTGCTCGAAATATCTGAAAGTTTAAAAAATAAACAATCTAAACGCCGTAACTGTTCGTCAGTAGGACGATGTGACTTTCACTTTCCAGTGATGAGTCGCATAATAACAACAAAACATGACCAGCTACAATATTTTAACCTGATTCTGTCAGGACTTGTCGTTAGTGTTCCCCTCTGCCTCAGTGAAATAATTAGCAGCAAGAGCCGAATCAGTTCATTCTCTTTTGTTAATAGGTGGAATGTTGGGATGGAACGCTGGATGTAAAATCTAGTAGAGGGACTAGTACTGATTCCTCCGGGATCCGTCCCCAGTCGTCTCACCAGTCTCTCCCCAGCTCACTGTGAGAGAGTTTAATTATTAAAGAGAGAATCGCGCAGGAGATACGCGCATGAGAGCTGGGAAGAAAGACGCGGGAAGACGATGACCTAATCAATTAGACAATGACCTTTGGCAATGATTTTTTGTCGAGTTCCAGTGCCAATCTCCCGCGGCCGATTCGCGACCGCGTATGAATGATGGGGAGGGGACCACTAAAGACAAGCCTCCACTGCAGTCAAACGAGAAACATTGGAAACCTAAGCAAAGTATTGCAACTTTTAAATCAGCCTTGCTTCTTTCCGTTGTTCAGATATCTTAATTTATAGCTGATTAGATCCTCTATGTGGATCCGGTGCTTCTATTTTGTAACGTTGGTCCTTGCTTTCAAAACTGAATTCAAAACTAGGGTTGCTAGTTTTATTTCACTGGAAGCATACAACCTACAACTACCAATGCGCTGTTGATTTACTAACTGTTTTGTAAGTTTAATAAAAAACGTTAGACGTGTTTAAGAACTTAAACAGGTGATACCGTTCGTCAGCAAAATTTACTCCGGTGCAAAGCGTTTTCAACGGAAACGAGCTCAATATTTTGCGAAAAAATGAAAACTTTGTTAAATTAAGTGGTCATTTTGTATATCCTTGCCCATGTTTCCATTAAATGACGAACGACATCCCAGACGAAAGTCGTACGTCGCAAAATTAACACGATGACTCAAAATAACCGCCATTTTTTGTGCGGGCATGAACGCGCGCACAACAACAACATGGGCTCAAAAAAAAGTTTGTCCAAGGAATAAACGTCAAGCAAACTTTTGGAGATTCAAGACTAACAGCTCCATTTGCTTGTGTTTATGAACGCCTCAGTTAAATAGTTAGCAGGGGGACTGATGGGAACGCTGAATGTGAAATCTGGTGGAGGCACTGATTACCAGTCCCAGTCGCCTCGCTTGTCTCTCTCTTTTATTAAATATTAACGGAGGAAGCGCATAG